TTTTTTTTTTTTTTTTTTTAACTAACCATTCCATTTAGTTAAAAACAATCTCCTATTACAACTTTAAATATTGGAAAAACTACCTATCTCCATTGAAAAGTGTAACAGATGTTGCCGAGGTGAGGGCCTATGTTTACCTGAATGAGGAACAAAGTGATATGAGCCCAACAACAAAGCATAGCTCGGTCTTCATCCCTGAAATCACCCCTCCGCTCCCAATCCACTCTTAAAGAGATGTCAGTATTGAGTTGACAATCATGCTACATTGCCAGAGTCAATGATAGAAAAGCATTTCCAAACTACACTTGGCAATTTCTCATTGAAGAGTGGGGAAAAAAAAATCATAAAAATACTCAATCATGGGCTGCCATATTATTCTAATTTTTCCCCCCTTTTTCCCTGGCTGTTCAACATTATTCATTGAGTTGAATACATCCGATTTGGGAGCGGGTCATTTCATTTCAGCAGCAGAAGCAACTTGTTGCAGTCCAGCTCTCTCCATGGACGAGTAAGATCTCACATCTCCACTCGTCACCAAGTATCTAAGTATGTTCGCATTCTATGGAAACATGAAAGAACCTTTCCTCGTGACCTGGCAGAAAGCACACACTAAATCACTTACATCTTATGGCGTTAGAGAGCCAAAACTAGTAAAAAAAACTTCACAAAACAGCTTCCACATAAATATACAGATTTTAGAAGGGATTTCAGAGTACTCAACCCATTACACCATTTACTGAGCTCATTTCCATCAGAAAAAAAAAGCTGAATTTTGGAGTCTATAGTTTGATTGTATAAAATAAATTCCATTGCATTCACAGTGCCATAATAAATCTATGCAATTAATGGTTGGGATTGAAAAAGCAATTCCTTGATCCAGAGGGAAAAAATGTAGCTTCCAGCTTAGCAAGATCCCACATTCCTGGATAGAGAATAGAGCCTTATCCAAATGTAAACGCCCAAGAACTTTGTTCACCATGACTTTCTAATCATCAGAAAATTTTGCTGATTCATCAAACACTACTGTCCAATTTTCATTAGCCTCAAAGAATCCTGTGTTATTTTACCTCTTCACAACTAAAGGGTCTCCTCAACAACACAAAGTACTCCATGCCAAAGCATCTCTTCTCCAATGACAAATCATCATATAACATGGGTAATGAATATCCAATGAGGCTCCAAGAAACGGTCACTTGACTATCACGTAACAAGTGAACTCAGGTCCACACTCAACATCACTATCCTATCTGGCCTATCCAAGCTCTTAAGTGGTCAAAGTGATGCACCCCCATGTAGAGGTCGAACCCTTGCATAGAAGAGGTGAGGTGATACCATCTGCTGCTGCACCAATGCAAAGTGAATTAGACTTCAGGCACACGAAGAACCTCCCCTAGAAGATTCTCGGTACGAGATTTCCAATGATTGATTCATGTGACCTCTCTGCAGCAATCTCCCTATCAAGTCAACTTATAATTCTATTCTTTATATGCTAGGCTGTAGTGTGGCTACTTTTCGTAATAATTTAAATTGATTACAAAAAGGAAAATATTTTGGAAGTCTATTCATTATTGAATCAAAAAGATAATTTGCCCCTGAGCCTAGAACTCATAGAATGACGCCTATGATAATGTGCCTCGACTGTCATGATGAGGCCACTTATCTCTTCATCTAACGATATCCATTCCACCCCTTCAACTATAAAAGTTCACATTTACTGCTATTTGAAGGTAAAGCAATTTACACTTTCAATAGTAATCTCTCTCTCTCTCATTTTACTCTCTTATAACCCTAGTGCCCGTGCACTATTATGGCTCACGCCTTCTGCCGTCCCACACTTAAATATACATGTGCAAGTTGACTAACTTGACCGTCAGAGTGCTCGGGTCGCCTCCCTCACCTCCAGAGAAGGTCTTGTGCTTCTAACGGTTTGTTCTAGTGTGCAAGAAAGAGACCATGTGGACATGAGTGGAGCCTGATCCTTTGACTACATCACCTGTGTAGAAACCAAGGTCAACGAATGCAACACCAAGATCAACAAACTACAAGGACAGCAACCCCAGGAACAAATGCAGGGACGTAGTGGGCATGTTACAAATACAGGAGGCCAAGGAAATTCTGGATCGAGTCCCACTTGTCAAACGTGTGATAAAATTGGACATTTAGCAACTATTTGTTATTACAAATATGATTCCTGCCACAACAATCCAGGGAATTTCAACCACAGCAATCAATGAAATTTTAACAACCAAGGGAATAATGCAGCAGCAGCAGCCTTTATTGCCTCTTCTGAGACCTTGGTGACCCCTCGTGGTAATAGCGAGAGGAATCACATAACCTCAGATTCAGATAATCTTGCCTTGAAATCCAACTTCTATGGTAAAGAACAGCGCACCATTGGTAACAGTAATCACTTTGAAAAATTGCACGCCAGACGCTAAAAAATTCATTTCATGACACCTCCTTTATACCTGAAAAATATTTCTCACGTCCCGAACATTAGAAAAAGTTTGTTGAGCATTTCTAAATTGACTGCTAATAACAATTTCATTGTTCAATTCCATTCTAATTTTCATGTTGAGAAGGATCAGATCACCCACAAGATTTTGCAGCTAGAAAGGCTTAAAGACTACTTTATCAGATGGTTCAATCACTGCCAATAATTCCACAGTGTCACCTTCAAGTCCTTTTACTGGTTTCATTTATCAGTAAGAAAAGTTTCAAATACAATTAAATAAACTTTTGTCAATGCATGTCAACTTGGGAAACACCATACATTGCCATTTTCTTTATCTGATCAAACCAAAACAAATGCACCCCTTGAACTAATTCGTACTGATTTATTATTTATAGACCTTCACCTGCTTTTCAATATTATATGCACTTTATTATTACTACACACAATATACATGGATATATCCCCTCGAACATAAATCTGAGGCATTTCATATATTATCTCAATTTAGTCCCTCACACCCTGTTTGGTATGTATTAAAACCTTGATTTTATTCTAAGTCAAAATCAACAATTAATTATAACTACATATTTCATGGGATCTACAACTTTTTAACAACATATTTCATTGGCTTTTATTAAAATCTATTGAAAATCTGATTGTAATCCCTACTAAATAGAGGCTTAAAGTACTTATTTAAAATAAACTAGAAAAACTCATTATCCCCTTGTTTGGTGTGGCTTAAAAAGTTGATAAAATATAAATCAAAGTCAACAATTAATTTCAATCACGCATTTCATACGACCTATATCTTTTATCGACTTTTCAACCACACATTTCATCAACACTTGTTATAATCTATTAAAATATGATTTTTAGCTATACCAAACAGGCGCTCAATATATCCAAAGACACTGAGGAAGAGATTTTAGACCATTTCAACATTAACTTTTTGAATTTGGAATAGAATTCCGACATCCTTGCCCAACTACTCATGAACAAAATGGCAAATTCGAAAATAAATCAGCAGATAGTGGAGACTGGCTTCATTAACTCTTTTTAGCTCAAACATCATGGCCTCAAAGCATTATTGCCTCTTAAATATTGGTTGGAAGATTTTCAATCTGCAGTTTACCCAATAAACCACTTTCCTACTCAAATTCTAGATGGTATCTCGCTATGGGAAAAACTCTTTGATTCGTCTCCGAACTATTTTTTTTCTTAAACTTTTCGGTTGTGCTTATTATCCATATTTACATCCTTAGCACCATAACAAATTTTGATTTCACGTTTTTCTTGGTTATAGTGACTCACATAAGGGTTACCACCGGTGTCTAAGCTCAAGTTATCATGTCTATATTTCCAAATGAGTTCTTCATCACCTACGTCCTTCAATAACTTGGTTATGTCATGGTTCACTCCACCTTCTCAACATTTTCTGTCCACATATCCAACAAGTAGCAATTCTATCTCCTGTGCCAAAACCTAATAGTACTACCATATCCAGCACAACACCTCTACAAATTCTCTCTTATAAACTTTTATCCGCTGTAACTAGCTATTTACATTGCTAGTTTCACTTATTTTCTATTTGTGAAATTCATTTTCAACTACACATTTCATTTCATAGAACCCACAATTTTTATTAACTTTTTAACCACATATTTCAACATTTTTTTATCGAAGTTTACTAAAATTTTATTTTTTTAGCTAAAACAAACGATGGCTAATTCATTTCAAGTAAGTATATAAGTCATAAATTAAAACACTTATTTCCTAAAAAGTTTAAGCAATATATAGCAACA